GGTTTGGTGGAGAGGGAGGGAAGAGGGGAGTGGTTTGGTGGAGAGGGAGGGGAGGGGGAGTGGTTTGGTGGAGAGGGAGGGAAGAGGGGAGTGGTTTGGTGGAGAGGGAGGGAGGGAGGGAGTGGTTTGGTGGAGAGGGAGGGAAGAGGGGAGTGGGTTTGGTGGAGAGGGGAGGGGAAGGGGGAGTGGTTTGGTGGGAGGGGGGAGGGGAGTGGTTTGGTAGGGGGGAGTGGTTTGGTGGAGAGGGAGGGAAGAGGGGAGTGGTTTGGTGGAGAGGGAGGGAAGAGGGGAGTGGTTTGGTGGAGAGGGAAGGGGGAAGTTTGAGGGGAGGGAGGGGTTTGGTGGAGAGGGAGGGAAGAGGGGAGTGGTTTGGTGGAGAGGGAGGGAAGAGGGGAGTGGTTTGGTGGAGAGGGAGGGAAGAGGGGAGTGGTTTGGTGGAGAGGGAGGGAAGAGGGGAGTGGTTTGGTGGAGAGAGGGAGTGGTTGGGGGGGGGGAGAGGGGTGTTGGTGGAGAGGGAGGGGAGGGGGGAGTGGTTTGGTGGAGAGGGAGGGAGGGGAGTGGTTTGGTGGAGGGGAGGGGGAGTGGTTTGGTGGAGAGGGAGGGAAGAGGGGAGTGGTTTGGTGGAGAGGGAGGGAAGAGGGGAGTGGTTTGGTGGAGAGGGAGGGGAGGGGGGAGTGGTTTGGTGGAGAGGGAGGGGAGGGGGAGTGGTTTCCAGTTAGTGCTACGGCTAAGCTAACAACATCGCTAACTGCACCTTTAACTTCCCCTACTTATATTTGTTGCTGCCTGCAGGGGGTGTTGGAGGTTCTGGGGTGAGCTGTGAATAAACTGGACTGAAGACAAAACAAAGAGACGATGAAAATATGGTGCTGTAGTTTTATCACAAACAACACGAGTCAAACCAGGAAGTACTAACGACAGCTGAGCGTAAACAGAACATGCAGAGGCTCTGAAAGAACATGATGGACGTCAATGTCAACTTTAATGGTATATAACACATTTCCCAGCTTAGTAAAAGTCAGATAAGGTCATCCTGTCATTGACTGTGCTCCAGCTGCAGATGCCCCGGGGCAGAGTGACAGAAACATGCCGACCACGTCACACACGCCCGAGACCTGTGTGTCGCTGGAGCATCAGTGTCGGACTCTGAACAGAATCTATGGATTTTATGGTCGGGTCACATTTGGGAGGAGTTTCCATTGGACTTAAAGCTCGGGAACTTTACTTTACTTAAATAATAATAATAACAATAATAATAATAATAATAATAATAAATGTAGTTTGAGACGACAACAAGAGGTCTTTGTTGGAATAGAAAACATGTTATTTTTGCATTCTCAAGAAAGAGCTCTGAGAGTCACTATATGACACTTTGGGCTGAGAGCTGATTGGCTGAGAGTTGATTGAAGAAGAAGAAGCATTGGTTTTATTAAGCGCTTTCTTGGACACTCAAAGACACTTCACATGTCATTATTCTTTCTCTCCAAACATGGTGGTGATTAGCTACTGTAGCCACAGCTGCCCTGGGGCACACTGACAGAAGCGAGGCAACCAGTCTGTGCCATCGGCCCCTCCCACCACCACCAACCATTCACACACACACCAGACTCATTCTAATGTGGGGGAAGTATCTTGCCTAAGGACACAACGGCAGTTTGGCACTTTACAGCCGCAGCCGCCCCACTGTGGCAGGTTTTCCCAGAGGTTAAGTGTTTTGCCCAAGGACACAACGACAGCAGACACAGGGAGTCAATGAAGAAGGTCGGGCTCGAACCCACAACCCTCTGGCTCAAATGCCAATGCTCTACCAACTGAGCTACTGTCGCTGTTGACTGAGAGCTGATTGGCTGAGAGCTGATTGGCTGAGAGCTGATTGGCTGAGAGCTGATTGGCTGAGAGCTGATTGGCTGATGAAGGGGGGTGCTCTCTTTTTCACTTTTCTGTCTGAAAAAGTTGATCTAAAGAAGTGACACTGACTGTAAATATTTGACAG